TATATATATATATATATATATATATATATATATATATATACATTGCTCACCCTTCAGTAAAGAAAACAAGACATCTTTACACATAGAAAGATTCATTTCTTTTTGTATTGCGAAGATCAGTCGGTGAGCAGTGAAATATTTTGCATACGTTTGAGGTACACGAAAGAATTCAAAAACTTCATGCCAAACACAACAGCACAGGCATGGCTAGTGAGCAAACAATCATCAAAAGCAGGCATGGAAGAAATATAGCTTGTACACAGTAAGGGAGAAAGAACTCCTCGTATGGAGGGTAGAATTGAAGAGTCAAAGTTTTCTATTCAGTTAAACGTAATCGATGAGTGAAATGATTACGTAACAGATCAGTAAACTCCGGCTGAATATCCTTCCCAGAGAGATTGTGAAAACGTTTGGGCGTATGAACACCATTAAAGGATTCAATGTATTCAAAGAAACACAGCCGAACAGCTTTACTTCTTCCGTCCAAAGAAGAAGAAACATAATGAATAGTGGATGCCAACGCATCTATGGCTGACTTGGAGCAACTCTAGGTAAATTGAGTGGGATCAGGTGTTTTGTTTTCGCTTGCGTTTGCCCCACTGGTTTTATAGGTCCCCTGTTATCTTCCCCGTCTTTTTAAGAAACTCATTCCCGGTCCCCCAGGTTTTTGTCGATATTTGGTCTTATACCACGGAAACATGTGGTACAGCATGTGGTGGCATATCACCTCAAGTTCTGTAAAACATTCTCCAATGTGACTTTATCTGATGCTTCCAATCCTCTTTATTATGATCTTATTCAGTGCTCTTCCTATTCGTCCACCCGTTCTAGTCATAAACTTATGAAAACACGCTGAAGCAAACAGACTCTCTTTTGTACCACATCTCGCCAGATTTCTTACAAACCATTAATTCGATGCAGAAAGTTTGCTCAAAGTGCTAAACTAAACCGATTATAAACACCATGCTATGCCACTAATGTTACTGTGCGTTTCACTTCCTATAATTCTTGTATTACATTTCGATTATTTTTTTAACAGTTGTCTCTGTGGTTATGTGATTGATGAATATCCCTCTGAGGTTTATAAAGCGATTTCCATACTTGACTTGACTGAACTGTCAATCAATGGATTTACTTCCTTCGTCCATCCGAATGACCCCAACAACTGTATATCACAACCATCATCGTGTTTATGAGTATAGGTAACACCACCATAAATATCACATAGTTTTCATGCACGCTTCTCCTCCTCATATCGTGCTCGGACGTGGCTGCAGTCAAGGCTACCCGTTCTCCACGAATAAAAGTCCCTTTTATAATATACAATCCTCGATGAGCGATTGCAATTGACTTTATTCGAGTTCCACGATGGAACATTCCGCGAAAGGCAACCGAAGTTTGAACCCGATGCCAACGCAATCCTCTTAAAAATCAATAAATTAATAAATGTCCTGTTACTTCCTTTCTTACTTATTTAATGTACAAATGTACAGCCAACATTCAGGAAGGGGGGCCGGGCCATACAAAGCTGCCCGGGAAGACGGGCGGCGGTGGACCGGTTCGAACCCGGGACGTCCATATCACAAGTGGTTGACCTAACCACTTGGCCACGACCGCCACAGACTTGACGATTAACCGTGAACTGAACTTTATATGTGAAGAAGCAGAACAGTTTTCGGGCCTTATAAGGGGTGTTTTAGCTCTGTATTATTCGTTTGCACATAACTGCACACTTGTTCCATCGTTTCGCGGATGGAAACATTTGTGAACAACGGGCTACCGTCCAGTGAGACCAATTTTTGACCGACCTAATCAGTGTCGCGAATTTTGTTCACAGAAAAAGCAGATCTTTTACAAAGTTCAGCTAATCCAATTCGAACGGGTTGGTATTGTTCACACCCTTCGGGTAATGCAACACGCTTGTAGGATGGGTTCAAACGTAGACGCATTAAACATTTCTATTTTTATTTATCCAAAAGGTCTGCGGCGGGGCCTTCTAATCTCGGCAGCTCTCTCTATCTTTCTATTATCGGATTATTCACTACATAACCATCACTGTGTCTGTTTTTTTGCGTTCTTCGCATGGTTGTCAAGGCGACTGTTGTGAGACTACAGTAATGACTAATTTAATCAAATACACCCGAGATTTCATACATTCAATCGAATGGAACGAATGTTTTGAGAGAACAGTAAGGAATAAAAGCAAAAGGACGGTCAGGAAGCTTTGGAAAAATCCGAGGATACATCGAGTCGGTTGGAGAGTTGCTCTTCGGAAGCAAACATTTCCCGAGACATAATAATAAAACAAGGTCAGCAGTGTAAATTTATCATTTCATGTCTGCATCCCAAATGAAAAACATTGGTTAAACAGTTCCAAATTACGCGTAATGTTTTTTGGAAAATTTGTTTTGTTTTTCTTGCATTTGTTTGCTCAAGAATCTTTCTCTTTGGACCCTGATTGTCGCGGCGGCTTTAGCGAATTTTCTCGAGTATTCAAATAAAGATTTGGGGATCATGAAAAAATGACTTTTTCGGCAACTGTACGCCAAAGGATGAAATACAGATGTGGTCGATAAATGTTTAATTACGTTTATGATGACGATGATGATGTGCTACTAATGCATTTCAGATGGCGAATCACGTGCTCAACTGCCCTCAGACACACGCTTACAAACGTAAGTGCAAATGCGTATACTATAAACCACGTATCCAATCAACATACGTTTGCTTGAGCAGTTCCACTTATATAAATCAAGAACTTTTTAATCGGTTGGCAATGTTGTTCATGATGTACAAATTGTGTACGGCGGCTATTGTCTTGTTGTCCTGTTCTGTTTCTGGACTGTACAATGATTATGCATCACAGTCTTGGCCTCCTTCGGCCGCAGAAGCTTTGGTTGATCTATCCGATGGTCGTTTGGATCTCGCAATCAAACCCCTCGTAAAACGACCGGCTCGAAACGGTTATCTGGCCAACCATACCGAGCTGCTTTTACGTTCGTTAGCTCCTGATGTCAAAGTGGCTGCTAATAGTTCACAGCTGCTACGCATGGCAACACTGCAATACTCGTTACTGCAACAAAGAGAGCATCCACAATATAGTTTATATCCCCAAGTGCTTAATACGCGCGAGGTTGTTCGGTCGGTTAAGTTCGGGGAAGCGGTCGATGAGGTAAGTTGTTTGATTATCGATTACATATAGTAATAGCTCAAGTTTTATACACTTTCTTCAGGCGAAATTCTATGCTGTTCAATGTGTTCAATGGGTATTGGAAACGAATTTACGATGATAGCTGTACTGAATGGAAAATGCGTGAATTATTCGTTCATATTTGTTAGCTTCCGTGTGGATTTGTCATATTGGCACACATTTTACTTAAGTTATTCCAGTGGTTCTCCAGGATTCCTTAGGATAATTCGTAACCAGCTGTTTACACTGCACTGCTCAATCTAATGAAAACTAACCGATACAGGGGAATGCAGAACTCGGGTCATTACGATTTATCGCGTATCCTCAGCATTGTTTCTCTTCACTTTTCAGAGGAACGCAGCATTAAAGAGCCTATTCAGTTTTTTTTCTCCGATTCAAGAATGGTGTTTATCTTGAGACACGCGGTGTTGTGTTTTCCAGTATATTCAGTTGGTTCTGATTTTCACCTAGTGGAAGGAAAGTGGACCTAAATTATCTGACAGTGACGTTCTTCTATCATAATCGTGTTTCAGTGATCTTTCACTGTTTTGAGCACCATAATGGTGTCAGAACGCACAGATATGTATATATATATATATTGCATTGACATAGACATTTTGCTAAACTGCTGCCAGATTTTGAGACCGTCACATTTTGTTTCATCAGTGCTAAATTGCGCACGGCAAAATGCAGTGATGTTATATTGATCATCAAAAATACGAGCGATGTGTCTTCAAATTGAAAAGAATCTCATGCGTCTTTATTAAAATTAACCATTGGTGAATTGGACGCCATACAAAAGATGGCTGTAACAGATTTGTGAGTTGAATTACTTCCGAGATTGCGGTGTTTTACAGATTGAACATAAGGAAACGTAATATGTATACGATTGTCACAGATAGGCGTAACTGACTCGTTCGCTTTGAACAGTATGCAGCAGGATTTGGAGCATGGGGCTGTGCCACGCACCGTTCAAAATAATAATAAAATTCCTATTAGTTGGCTTTTGTACTGTTGATATAATGTGACTGTATTCCATTTCGCCTGTT